ATCCAGATGCGGAGCTACAGAGAGTAAGTCCTCCTACAGGTTTCTTTAACAGAGAATTTTATAGTGTCAGACACAGAAGCTAACCACCAGAGTATATTATGCTCCACAGGTGCATTGGGCTCACCTATTTTGATCAGCTTGAGTTTATATCAATCAATCAATTTCTTTATTGTCAACTGCAGTTGTAATCAAGATTTCAGTTTCTGTACAGGGGGAACAATTTACTGAGGCCATGCGTGCCGCAGAACGCTGCCTTTGGCACGTTGTTATGGCTGCCAAGGGCCCCGCCGTGAGGCAGTTCCCTATAGCTCTGCCTTTTCTTTACAGATTACCCCATGACTTGGTGTCATGTCTGTCAGCATGTTGGTCCAACTTTGTTTCAGTCTTTTGACTTGATCTGGGAAAAAATCTGCTTCTGAATGTCTCTGGTTTGTATTTGTGCAGTTGGAGGAGGAAGCGTTGCGCAGCCAACAGCCACCTCTCAATCTCGAACCCGAAGAGGATGCAGTCCAGGAAAAAAGTCACCGTGATCGGGAAGTAGAGCGGGTTCGTGAACGGGACCGGCATCACGAGCGGGAACGGCATCACGAGCGGGAACGGCATTCTGACCGGAACCACCATAGTGAGCGGGAACGAGAGCGGGACAAGAGAGGTTCTGAGAGGCCCACGGAGCCAAAGTCTAAAGCCCCCCAGCATCATTCAGATGATGATGATGATGATGATAATGGTGCTGCTGACGTTAATGAAAGGCATGAGGAGGACTATCATGAAGGGGAAGACTCCCAGGAAGCTAAGCCTCAGCTTAAACCTGTAATGAGACCCATCACCATTGCCCCATCAGTGTCTTCTGCTAGTGGGAATGCGACGCCAAACACACCCGGGAATGATTCCCCCTGCGGCATAATCATTCCAGGTGAGAGCACTCCTGACGTCCAGCCTTTAGAAGAAAACCGGCCCAAGATCGGTCTCAGTCTCAAACTGGGTGAGTGCAAAAGCAAGCTTTACACACAAGTTAGTGTAGCACTCTTCTTTAGTCAAAACAGATGTTTGGACCTCATCATCCTCTTCTGCAGGTGCCACCAACAGCCCCAGTCAGCTCAATCCTGGGAAGCGAAAGAAACTTGCGGCGGCAGACAGCGTCTTCAACAAATTTGATGACGAGGAAACGGATGAGCAGCCTCGCAAGAGAAAACTAGTTCCCCTGGACTATGGTGATGACGATAAGAGTTTGGGACTCGATGGGGCAGAGATGTCAGCAGCCAAAGGCGGCAGCATCAACACTGAGGAGAAACGGAAGCATATAAAGAGCCTTATTGAGAAGATTCCCACCGCCAGGCCGGAGCTTTTCTCCTACCCTTTGGACTGGACCATGGTTGATTCGGTAAAAATACTGCTGGATCAGAAATGGATTGGAATAATTTATACCTAAATAGTATAGTTAAAGTTCTTGGGATCTTCTTATTCTATCTTTTCTAGACACTGATGGATCGACGGATTAAACCGTGGATTAATAAGAAGATTATTGAATACATTGGGGAGGAGGAACCCACTCTGGTTGATTTTGTCTGTTCTAAGGTTTGTATCTATTTAATGAAGAAAAGGACAACATTATTCCAGCTGTATCATCACATTTTTGGATTCTTTATAATTCTTATGTTTATAACTTTATTTTAATTGTTTGTTTTTCATCCAGATAATGGCACATAGCACTCCCCAGGGGATTCTGGATGATGTCGCTATGGTATGTTAGAGCATTATCCTGAGTCTGCAATGTAGACCTTTAAAGCTGAAGACTGCAAGTCATTAAAAATCACTTTTTTGTCATATTGGCTAAAACTGTCCCTATGCCCAGACAGCAGTACATGTGATATGTAACCTGTGAAAAAAACTGCTTCAATTGGTACCGCCTACTGCCTGTATTTCAATCTGGAAAGAATAATTCGGGACGAGTCAAAACAACCAATCACAGCCAGAGGAGCATCTGATGGAGTGTCAATCACAGCTCACACACGCTGAATCCCGCCCCCCCCACCCCACCCCCCCACCCCCTCTGGTCGCATGCGGTAGCCGCGCAGATGCTGTGAGAGGGGTGGAGCTTGGAGGTGGGGCATGAGTGAAGCAGAGAGGGTGGGGGAGTGGAGTGAAACCTGTTTTTCTTCAAATTTTCAGTCGAAGTGTGCTCTCTCCTCAATGTTACAGACTGCAGCTTTAAAGGTCAAATCTAGAGCAGTTATATCATGTGTGATGGTAGATTATCCTTTCTTTTCTCTATGTGGCTGGTCTAAATCGTACAACGGAGTATTAGGGCCAGGCTAGAGATTTAAAAAAAAATTATATTTCTAGAATAAAGTCATAAAATTGCGAGAATAAAATCACAACGAGAATATTCATAAAATTACGAGAATAAAGTCGTAACATTATGAGAATAAGGTGATAAAATTACGACAATAAATTCTTAAAATTACGAGAATAAGTCGTAACATCATGAGAATAAGGTATTAAAATTACGACAATGAATGCGGAAAATTACGAGAATAAAGTCTTAATATGAGAATAAAGTTGTATTTTATGACAACTCTTAAAAGAAGCACTTTCTTCACTAAAATGAGGAATGTTGAGCATTTTGTGAAGTTAGACTTTGGCTCTGGTTTGACAAATAAGAGAATCTTTTAACGCACCTGCATCAAATTAGACAGAATTTCAAAGTTGACTCAGGTTGCTGATTGGTGGTGCTGCTCGGTCGTCATCTGCTGGTCTTAGCTTGAAGGTTTCTTTCTGAAATGTGTTGTTGTATGACAACCTCATTCTCGTAATATTCCAACTTTATTCTTGTAATTTTATGACTTTATTCTCATAATGTTACGACTTTATTATCATAATTTTATGACTATTCTCGTTCCGGCTTTATTCTCGTGATGTTACGATTTTATTCTCGAGCCATAACATTCTTAATACTTCTCGATCACAAATATAATCAGTTGATGTGTGCTGGACATTTAACAACTTCTATATTTTGTATCTCTATAGTTTTTGCTATTGGAGCCCTCTGCTGTGAGACATTGTTTACTGATCATGCATCATTTTATCAAGCCAGGCGGATGTTTGTAGCTGTTTTGAGAGCTGATAAATGAAAGAATCCTTTATTATCTATTATTATCTTCATTATATATTCAATATTATTTACTATAAGTATATGATATATAATAAAGGAGATTGGTGGTCCTTTATTAAACCCAAATGGTATAAAAACGTGTTGAAATCTGTATATGGTATTTTGAAATGTGTTTGAACTGTTAATGTGTCCCTCTGCATTGCCTGATAGTGGGCTGTAAACCGTGCAAGTTAAATTCTTCCTGATCTCTTTATCTATTTTTATTTTTTGTTTATATAGGTTCTTGATGAGGAAGCAGAAGTCTTCATAGTGAAAATGTGGAGGTTACTGATATATGAAACAGAGGCTAAGAAGATCGGACTGGTAAAGTAGAGACTTAAAAAACCTCGAAGCTTTCAGTTGGGCTAGCTACACTTTTTCTGGTCCACCAGATGGTAAATATGTGCCCATTCACCCCTCCATTCCATCTGCAAGGAGCTGCTACCTTGTATGTATGTGTGTGTGTGTGTATGTGTGTGTGTGTGTGTGCGCCTGCGAGAGAGTATGGGTGTTGATATCTGTATGATGAGGTTTGTGAACAGAATAGGATTGCACAAACCTTTAGCATGGTAAAACATTGGTGGTTTTGTTTTTTCTTGCGTCAATGACATTGTTAAAGAAAAAGACGGTTGCATTTCACTGTCTGTTTTCCAGGTTGTTGAACATCGTACATACTGCTTTGATTTACTGGTGTCCTGTGAAAGCTCTGCCGTAACGGGTGAATTAATAAACATGCTTTTTAAAATAAAAACGTTTAAATGTATGCCGTTGGAGTCTGTTTTTTATTTTGTACCTAAAAAGAATAACTAGAAGAATATTAGCTCGTTTCTCCACTTTGAGAAGAGGTCATTTTGCCTGCATCTCAGACCTTGTACATTTATAAGCTGGATAAGCTGTCAGAACAAAGATATCGACTTTCATCGGAATTTAAAAATGTGTCTAATATTCAAATTCAGCTAATTTGATTACTGTAGACACATTTAAAAATACAAATACAAACTCAAACCCATTCATACAATCTGATACCTGGTTAAATGTTCTTAAAATAAAAAGATGTCATATTAAAAATCCCAATAAAAGGAAGAAAACCTAGGGGAAGTAACATGACAATTTTAAATTAAACAAATATTAAGAAGCATTAGGGTGGTAGGATCACACATACTCCACTGCCATTAGTGTTCTTTTCACGAAGTGGGCTGAATAATCCAAAAGAACCATCTCCAGAGTTCTTTGACTTTTTTTTCTTTTTTCTTTCTTGATCTCAACAGTCTGTTTCAATTGCACAATGATCCCAACATATAAGGGAGTGGGGTTGAATAAAATATCACATTTCTGGAAATTTAACCACTACCTGTATTAACATTTTATAGACTGTTATTTAAAGCTATTTAATGGCATACAATAAACTGTACTTTTGAAATTGTTTAAGATACTTGGTGAATTATCCAATTAGAATAATGCTAAAATCTTTTCATGACATAAAAATGGAGGCTATGATGTGTTTATTTTTAACAAAAAAAATAGTTTATCCAAATATTACAGAATGTATTTTAGCTGGTTGGATTCTAGAAAATTCTGAATAGTTCAACGTGCCTATTTATAAATCTGTTAATATAAAGTCTCTCTCTCTCTCTCTATATATATATATATATATATATCTATAAAGATATATATCATTTATTTTTTTCATCAATTTTTTTTATATTTCATAAATATTTTATATTTTTCATAAATATTTCTTTAAAAAACTAAAGCCTGCAAAAATATTAAATAAAATAACTGTACAAAAAAGACGTCGCTTTAAATGTATGTCATTCAACGAGTCTCGCAGTGACGTGGCAACCTCGGTGATTGGTTGGTGACCCGGAAGTATTTGACAGGCACTCTAACAACAGGATGTTCTCCTAACAATTTGCTGTTAATCACCTCGGGCAGTTGCAATATATTTTGTTTGATTGGAAATCCTAGCAAAAAAAGACAGAGCACACTAAACAATGGAGGAATAACGTGAGAGCGTTTCTTTATTATCAAGTCTCCCAGAGACGGATAATTACTAAAGCTAGTTAGCATTAGCGTTGCTACCGAGGCCAGAGGCTGCAGCAGTTCTGATAGTTATCGCGAATGTTTTGACGCCCGACCGAACCGGTATCATCATATTCTTGTTAAATTATCAGAACTTGGTTAGCTGTAGCAGCTTTCAGGTCATGGTGTTGAACCGGGAAAGATCTGGGTTCTGTTATCAAAGTGTTTTTGGAGTTTTGGTTTGATGGTTTAGCTTTAGATTCGCATTAGGCTAGCTGAAGAAAAAAAAAGTGCAATCATGGACGATTTTAGCTCGATCAGTTTGCTCTCTCTTGCGATGTTGGTGGGATGTTACGTGGCCGGAACAATACCCCTTGCAGTCAACTTCTCGGAGGTAAGTTTTGAGCAAACCCAGAACTGTGCAACAGCTGACAGAAAAATTAACTTTAGCTTAGAATCCCATTGCTCACACCAGAAACGCTTATCACCAGGGAGTAAACAGTGCTTGTTCTGTCCTGAAACGGTTGTGTTTATCCAGGAGAAACTGAAGCTGATCACTGTTCTGGGAGCAGGGCTGCTTTGTGGAACAGCACTTGCTGTTATCATTCCTGAGGGAGTCCACGCACTTTATGAGGAGATCCTTGAAGGTAAAGTTTGAAATTAGTGGTCATAGCCTTTTGGTTTTGAATCAGCTTTTGATTTAAGTGTGAAGCAAGTTTAAGTTTGCCATTTTCTACTCAAGGGTGTTTATGTCAAAACATGTAATTTTAACTTTTGCACGTTCTGACATGTCACAGTTTGAACCTTGAGTTGATGCAATTACATTTTATATTAGACCAACACAAAGAAGAGCAGAATTGCTTAGTCAGCCAAAAATAAATACCTTTAAACTCCTTAGTAGCTTTAGATTTTCTTGGATTTTGCTATTTCTCTTTCTAGTAGCTTTCTCTTTCTCGTGTCCCTTCGAAAAAGTCCAGATTTGTGCATTTCTTGTGATTTTGTGTTACATGTCATGTCAAACCACTATACAGAGTCTGTTAATTTAAATTAGACAGGTAATGCTAAAGATTTTCTATCCAATGAAACCCAGCTGATGATGAACCAGACAGAATGTTAAAAGCTGTATGGAAAACTTACCGTGAAATATTTATATATTTTTAAATTTAAAGGATAAGAAATAACTTGTGTTGTCTAAGAAATGTGTTGCTTAAAACAATTTCTTGTTTCGCCCTAGTAGAAAAACCACATGACCATGATTAAAGATGATTGTCCAAACAAAAGAGGTAGATTCCAATGAGACGGTTTTTCTTTCATATCTCTCAAATTCTCTGTGGGGTGATCTTTTCACTAGTCTTACACACACTTGAATTTATTTGTGATCATAACTTCCTCTTTTTGTTTTTCTAAGTCATCTCAGGTCTTATCCTTTAGAGATTACAAATCTAAGCTTCACGTCAGAAACTTTTTTTCCCCTTTGTTTTAGATTACACAGTCATCCTAAAATGGCTTTCAGTTTAATCTCTACACTTGAGCGATTTACACACGTTTGTTTTTGATATAACCAAAAAATGGTATCAAATGGGATTGGATTTTATAACATCGACCCTGAGAAAGTAGCACAAAGTTGAATAATTCACAGCAATGTATTTTTGAATTCAACATATTAATAAACTGATAAAGGGATCAGAGTTGAAGTTTTGGAAAGGTTTAATCAATAACTATTACTACTATTATTGTTAAAGACAAAGATAGTCCATCTTCCTTTAAAGAGGAGCAGCAAGTTTTTGAAATGAGATACTCTGAACAAAAGAACCGTCCACTTGAGCACATCGTCCCTGTGGTGAAGCATGGTAGTAGCAGTATCTTGTTCTGGGGAGGCTTTCAAAGGAAGCCGGCCAGAGTAAGATATTGGAAGAGAACCTATTAGATGCTGTTAACAATAAGGCACAGGATGGTTCATCTTCTAGAGCAAGGGTCTGCAACCTTTACAACCTGAAAGACATGACTTCTATCCAGCTAATAAAACTTGTTTATAGCTGCAAACATCATATAACCCTTAAAAAAAAAAGAAGATATATATTTGATCAGTATAAACCAAAGTGGACTATTGTCCCTTTTAAATAACCACTGTGTCATTACAAACTTTAGGTTTTAAAATGAAGGAAAACACTTGGAAAAAGTGAATTGTTTGAAAGTTTCTGTTGAGTTGTTGATGTACTTGGGAAGTTAAGTTGTAAAATCCAAACAATTTCCCCCTTAAAAAGGAAAATAGTTTTAACTAGAGTCAATTAGTTTGGGTAATTAGAATTTTTAATTGGGAACAAAATCTCACTTAAAAAAGGGCAGTAGACCCCTGTTATAGAGGGAAAAAGAAAAATCAAAATCAGTGGTGGAATTCAATTCAAAATACATTATTAAACCCAAAGGGAAAATAGATATTACATTATCTCAGTTTTTTTTCTTTTACCTGTTTGTGTTGGTAGCTGTAGGCAGGAAGGATCTTCTATAGCGGCTCTTTTAAAACGTAACCATGTCTTGAGAATGGGATAGCTAAAGACTAGATCTAAATTCAATCAAGAATAGGAGGAAATATTTGGAAAATCACTTTTCACAGGCTTTCTGTTCCTATTCTGTCCTTATGCAGAGAAGATGTGAAAAATATGTGGTTCTACAAATGATTCACTCTGGGCGCTGAATACAAATGCATGCCACACTTTTCAGACTCTTTTTTTTTTTTTTTTTGCAACCCGCTAAGCTTTCTGGTTATTGTGTAAAAAAAATTAATTACATAAAATTATCTAAGTCAAGGGTGTGAATACTTTTACAGTGCTTTTTTTAAATGAGCTTTAGCCTGTGAAGGTTATGATTGTTTGTATGTTATTTAAACAGAGTAAAGTTCAGCTAGCTATGCATTACAAAATATTGACCTCTACCTTTTATTTTTAGAGATTTTCTCTTGTTTGCTGTTGGTGTAAGTTGCAGTCCTTTTTGTTTGTATCTCCACGATCATTCCTCCATGTTGGCATTTACCAGTCCGTGTTTCTCCAGGTGTGCACCACAGCCACAGTCAGCCTGGGGCTGCGCAAGCCTCTGAGACGAAGGAAGCAGAAGCAGCCCTGGACGCCACTGGTGCTCATGAACACAGCCACGAGCAGCTCCACGCCTGCATCGGTGTCTCTCTGGTGCTGGGCTTCGTCTTCATGCTGCTGGTGGACCAAATAGGCAGTTCTCATGTTCACAACTCTGAAGGTCAGAATCACAAAGAATGAGCACAAGATGAGCTTGCTTGGTAGAAAATGGAACGGTTATGAATTTATGACCCAAATAGATAATTTAAAAAAGATATATATATATGTGCATTTTAGATCCAGAATCGGCAAGAGTAACCAGCTCTAAAATCACCACTACTCTTGGTCTTGTAGTCCATGCAGCAGGTAAGTCATTTTCCTTATTTTTAATTTGCGTTTGTAACAAAAAATCCTCAAGTACTAATGTTCTTTAACATAGGACTTCATCTTATGACTGTAATTATGTTGATCAAAGTTATTTATATTTTTATTTTGTGTATTTAATGGTAAATATGTGAATATTCTTCTCATTGTTTCCAGCCGACGGAGTGGCGTTAGGAGCTGCTGCCTCAACATCTCAGACCAGCGTCCAACTCATTGTTTTTGTAGCTATTATGCTACATAAGGTAAAAATCCAACAGATCTTATAGGATGTAGTCAGTTTTTAAAATCTGATTAGTGTTGTGGCTTTGTTGCGATATAGTCATAATGCTAGTATTACTCCTTTTTTCTATTTCGTTTTATTGAAATGTTTTTATCTGTAGTTTATCAAACTGCATAAATAAATGAAAAGGAAATCCTGTCTTCTGATCATTGAACGCATCCTTCTCTCTGTGGGATCTTTAGGCCCCAGCAGCGTTCGGTTTGGTGTCGTTCCTGATGCACGCTGGTCTTGAGAGAAACCGCATTCGCAAACACCTGCTGGTGTTTGCCTTGGCAGCTCCTGTTCTCGCCATGATCACCTTTTTAGGACTCAGTCAGGTACTATGTTTGATAATAATAAAATAAGTAAATATTTCATTTATGTCTTGACACCTGATTATAGAGGTATTGATGAAAAGTAAAGAAGTATTCATGCTCCTTTATCCTTGTCACATTTTGCCCAATTTAGATCCCAAATGTAAAATATTTTGGCTTTTTTTAATTTCCTTTTTTTGTTTTTTTTTTTTATAGATATTTAAAAATGGTAAGATGTGAATCTCAACATATACTTATTTTTGTAAAGTAAAAATCTAACAGGATTACGTTTTTTAAATTTTTTTATACCGCCATATTTACTTTGATTCACCTAAATAAAGTTCAACGCTACCATCTACATTAGATGTCAGATACTTTGCATCAATCATTAATCAGCGCAGAAAAAAAAAGTCTTCCAAAGTAAAACCTTTCAGTCCTTTCCATCTCTAAATGATATCAGTCTCAGTTCGATTCGCTTGTGTTGCGTTCGGTTCATGCACAGCTCCTTTTTCTCATGGGCGAAGCGTGTACACTCCAGAGCAGAAGGTGGCGGTACTGCGACCAAAGCCAACCACCAGTAGTAAACAAGAAGAAGCAAAGCAGCTTAGCCGGGTGTAGCAGGAAAAAATCAGCTGTTGTGGAGAATTGTGTGGGTATGATGAGTGGGAAAGAACAGGAGTTGGAAGACGCGCCAGCAGCACTTTATAGGTCTGCTGTATGGGACCACTCTGCATTTAGAGTGACCTACGATGACGGCGGAAAGAAAGTTGTGGATAAAAGTGCAACAGTGTGCAAGCATTGTGCAACACGTGTTTTTTATGCTAACAGCAACATGACCAACATGTCAGCTTAGAGATTTTGCTAACAATTAAAATATACCGAAACCGTGAACCGAACCGTGGATTTTGTGAACTGTTCCACCCCTAGTCGCTATTGAGAAAGTTGTTCTTACATTTACGTCAGTTAGTAATGGCGATGCTGCTTCCAGTATTTTCTACGTGCACAACTGCAACGTTTGGACGCAGACAACAGAAAAACAGCTGATCATTCTTATGAGTAAAAGTTATCTACGTCAGAGCTGATTCGGAAAAAGTGTTTGTATCTGTTTACTACATAAACCTTTTTTTTTTTTTTTTTTGCAAAAGCCAAAAACCACTTCAACCAGGGTTAAAAACCTTTTTGCAAATACAAGGGAGTTTTTTCAAATTTTCCTGTTTCCATCAAGCTTTTAAATGATCCTCTGATTTAAAGACAGGGTTTCTGTGGACCATTAAAAGTCATTAAATTGTTATTTTTTTAAATTAAGGCCTTAATTGGCACTAAAATTCATTAAATTAGATGATAGCTGCAGATATATCAGATATAAGTATATATATACACTCACCGGCCACTTTATTAGGTACACCTGTCCAACTGCTCGTTAACACTTAATTTCTAAGCAGCCAATCACATGGCGGCAACTCAGTGCATTTAGGCACGTAGACATGGTCAAGACAATCTCCTTCAGTTCAAACCGAGCATCAGTATGGGGAAGAGAGGTGATTTGAGTGACTTTGAACGTGGCAATACGTGGTATTTCAAAAACTGCTGATCTACTGGGATTTTCACGCACAACCATCTCTAGGGTTTACAGACAATGGTCCGAAAAAGAGACAACATCCAGTGAGCGGCAGTTCTGTGGGCGGAAATGCCTTGTTGATGCCAGAGGTCAGAGGAGAATGGCCAGACTGGTTCGAGCTGATAGAAGGGCAACAGTGACTCAAATAACCACCCGTTACAACCAAGGTGGGCAGAAGAGCATCTCTGAACGCACAGTACGTCAAACTTTGAGCCAGATGGGCTACAGCAGCTGAAGACCACACCGGGTGCCACTCCTTTCAGCTAAGAACAGGAAACTGAGGCTACAATTGTCACAAGCTCATCGAAATTGGACAATAGAAGATTGGAAAAGCGTTGCCTGGTCTGATGAGTCTCGATTTCTGCTGCGACATTCGGATGGTAGGGTCAGAATTTGGCGTCTACAACATGAAAGCATGGATCCATCCTGCCTTGTATCAACGGTTCAGGCTGGTGGTGGTGGTGTCATGGTGTGGGGAATATTTTCTTGGCACTCTTTGGGCCCCTTGGTACCAATTGAGCATCGTTGCAACACCACAGCCTACCTGAGTATTGTTGCTGACCATGTCCATCCCTTTATGACCACAATGTACCCAACTTCTGATGGCTACTTTCAGCAGGATAATGCGCCATGTTATAAAGCTGGAATCATCTCAGACTGGTTTCTTGAACATGACAATGAGTTCACTGTACTCCAATGGCCTCCACAGTCACCAGATCTCAATCCAATAGAGCATCTTTGGGATGTGGTGGAACGGGAGATTCGCATCATGGATGTGCAGCCGACAAATCTGCGGCAACTGTGTGATGCCATCACGTCAATATGGACCAAACTCCCTGAGGAATGCTTCCAGCACCTTGTTGAATCTATGCCACGAAGAATTGAGGCAGTTCTTAAGGCAAAAGGGGGTCCAACCCGTTACTAGCATGGGGTACCTAATAAAGTGGCCGGTGAGTGTATATATATTAGGGGTGGAACGGTTCACAGGTCCACGGTTCGGTTCGATTCACGGTTTCTGGTCATGGTTTTTGGTTCGATTCGATACATGTTGATTGTTACACCGAAATTCCATAAAAAATTATGAAATTAATGAAAAAATCCCCCCAAAAATAATGGATTGTAATTATTTTAAATGATCCACGGAAACCCTGGATCATTTCCGTATGTTTTGCTGCTTTGAATTTAATCATCTGGCGCATACTCTCTAACCTGACAACAGCCAGGTGCATGTGACATGCATCTGGCTGTTGTCAGGTTACATGCTCTCTACCATCTCCAAGGAACTCAGAGGGGAGCAGTCGAAGCCACAGTGGGGGCTGTAGGCTTTGCTTTGAGCAGCCGGTCTGGAGCGCAGCGGGGGTTGCTGACGGAGTATGAGGGATTTCGGGGTTAGCATGACATGTTGCTGTTAGCATAAACAAAACGTGTTGCACAATGCTTGCACACTGTTGCACTTTTATCCACAACTTTCTTTCCGCTGTCATCGTAGGTCACTCTAAATGCAAAGCGCTCCCATACAGCAGACCTATAAAGTGCTGCTGGCGCGTCTTCCAACTCCAGTTCTTTCCCACTCGCCAGTCCGACACAATTCTCCACAACAACTGATTTTTTTCCCTGCTACACCCGGCTAAGCTGCTTCGCTGCTTCTTCTTCTTGTTTACTACTGGCGGTTGGCTTTGGTTGCAGTACCGCCACCTTCTGCTTTGGAGTGCACGCTGCTTTGTGTCACAAGCATGTCCGGCCGTGGGATACTGCGACGAGTCATATGAAATAAAACATGTTAGAGACTATGAAATTTGGACCAGATGCTTGGATGCATTTTGGCTTTAAAAACAAATAAGGGAAAAACGAAATTGAAATGACGCACGTAATTTGCAAAAGGGGAAAGATACATTTGAATGTTTTCATTTTATTGGTTTAAAGGACCACTGAGGCCATGTAAACAGCACTGATTATCCTTATTTTGTTATTTTAAGTTCTTAAGATGAATCTTAAGATCTTTTTGTCAGTGTGTCCATGCCAGTAATAGTAATATTTCTGTCCAGTATTTGTTTTCATGGCAACACCTCCAAAAGTCATTTAAATAAATACAGCTATGTATGAATTCAGTTGCTTTCAGTTATGTATCAATTGAAGACACTATCCAGATCATACCCAGCTAGTCAGCCACTGGTAAGGGCTGTATCTTTTTCTTACAGTGTTCAGTGAAAATATTGCAACGCATCGCGATGCATCGCAATATTTCAAGTATCATGATGCATCGTGATATAATCGCGAATCATGGTGTGTGAATCATGATTCGAATCGATTAATGACTTCTTTGCCAATACCCACCCTTAATAAATATATATATATATATATATATATATATGAGCGTCACGGCATTAAAAGTATTTCTAAGAGCATTAGAAAGCATTAAATTAGAGTTAATAATTACTGTATAAACCTTGGATGAGGAAAATCTGTTTCAAAGCACAACATGCAGCTTTACACTCTACGACTATTCTTTATGGAAAGAGGAACACCATGTTAATTTCAGTTTGGTTCACCTAAAACCATATGAGGCACACAGCTAGCATGTGAAAGCAGACACTGAACCTTCTACGAAGATTCATATTTCTGTTTGTGGCTCTTTACCTCTCCTTGAATGCACCATCCCCAGCAGGATGTGGCAGCATTATGCTGCAGGGATCTCCCCCCAGCTGTTTTTTGTTTTTCACAGTTTCTTTCTCCCTTTCAGAGCAGCAAAGAAGCTCTGTCGGACATCAACGCCACCGGGGTCGCCATGCTCTTTTCAGCCGGCACCTTCCTCTACGTGGCCACCGTGCACGTCCTCCCTGAGGTGGGCGGTGGTGGCCACAGCCACGCTCCTGCAGGAGGGAACGGAGGGAAGGGACTGAGCAAAGTAGAGGTGGGAGCTCTGGTCCTTGGCTGCCTCATTCCTCTGGTGCTGTCCGTGGGTCACCACCATTAGACCCACAGAGGGAGAACTTATGAGGGCTGTACAGGGGAAAATAAGGGGGACTGAAGACATTTACAGATTCAAAAGTCTTATTGACCGCCATTGCTGGACTCAGTGGACCAGATGGATCGCCTCACAGGGGCGTCAGATGACTTATTTGAGCCAGAATGTAGTAGTGCCGGTGGAATCAGAGCTGAGACAACAAAGGATGTTTTATCTGCGGACTCTGACACAATACTACTACTGTATGTATACATTTATTCCCCCAGAAATCTTACTTTGAGAGAAAGTGGAACTTTTTTTTTTTCCTTTTGTATTTAGTATCAAGCAGAGTTTCAGTGTTTCGTTATCATGCTTGTTTAAATTCCCTGAAACACCCTGGTTTTATCATCTTTTACTGGATGGCTGTTGCACAGTGAGATTTGATGTTGGTTGAGTTTGTGAAATTCATTTTTTTTATATCTATAAAACTGTACAGAGTGTAAATGACTCTAACTGAATTTCAAGTGCCATAACAGGAAGTGTGAACCCAGTAGCAGGAGAGGACGGCAGCACCGCCAGAACCTTACTATTAGAGGATCCTATTCTCCCAGATAAACCTGATGAACCAGGTCAACCAGCTGGAATCCTGTGGGTTATAAGCAACACTTTGTCAATCAGGCGAAGGTTTCCTAGAGGTGGATAACTCTTGGTAGGTTGATGCATGGATTCCTGGAACGTCACATGCAAAGACCCGCTGCTGTGCCACTTAAAAATTCCCACTTTTTTATTTCACTTGTTGTATGGTTTGCTTTCTAGCTCCAATGATTTCTTTTTCTTACAATCTTACTGTAAATGGAAGTGCTCTGTATATAATTGTCTTACGTGATTGTAGATTTCAGCTGGGGGTCGGATCTGGTGTTGCTAAATGAATGACAGAGCTGTCCTTTAGAAAGAAGCCTTTAGGGACCATCAGCTCAGGAAAACTATTGTACGTGTGAAACTTTTTAAAATCTTGGTCAATTGTCTCATTCATCAGGACGAGCAATAATACAAAAACGAATGGCGAAATTTTTGCGAACTGCTTTTGTTCCCCCTGCAGTGAAGTCTGTAGAGTGTGTACAGTGTAACACTTGTAATGTAATTCCTAAGCAGAGATCTGTGAGCTCTGCCTCTGTTTCCATCCCAATAAAACTAAGTTCTTTTAAATCTGCAGGTTGGACATTTGTCTGGATGTTGTTCATGTATCACCTCTACTGCTCACAGCAGAGCTCATGTCTGCACCACCTGTAGGTTTGTACGCTGTTTGCAGCTTAATGATTTATGTCAGGAAAACATTTTTTTTCTCTTAATGGAATTTCTTGTTTCTTTCAACCAAGATACCTCTGATAAAAAAAAAAAAAATGACACCAAAGTATCTAAGAAAAAAAATATGGATCAATTACTTTTAGAATTATTAGCCCTTGTTTCAATTATTTCAAAAATGAGTTCTGAAAATGTTTCGGAAAAGGGGTCCTTAAACAAATCCAACATTGGACCAACCCTGTTTATACCTATAGAATATCCATGCTTTGTTTTTCTCTGCTACCCTATAAATGTCTGACTTGCAGACTCGAAACAAACAGAAAAACTCATGGAAAACTTCCTCAATGGGAGTTAAAAGATTTCAACCGTAAAACCCAAACTATTAAAACCCAATGGAAAGCCAAAGGAATTTAATGACTTGAAAACCAAAGGTTTTACCACAATTTCTTATTTTTAACTAAATATATTTGAAATTAATTTAACGGCCCCAATTGACTTCAAATGACATACGGCATTATCCTGATAGACTGAATTTTTTTGGGGGGAAAAAGATTTGATCAACCATTAATAGAAGCTTTTATACATTCCCTTTTTCTTAAATCTAATAATCATCTATATATGAACTCTTGGTTTGTCTTTGTCTAAAGATTTAAACATAAGAATTTGTCAAATTTACCACTCACTAAAACATATTCTACAATTTCTCCAAATATATAGAATAATTACTATATGTGGAAATGGAGCTGATAAAATTTTTTCTTTCTTAAATAAACCAAAATTACACCCAATACCACACGTTATGCACATCCTCTTGTAGATTTTTGGCATATAAAGAGAATATACGATTCTTTATTTCTGTATTGCAGTTTATGTGCAAACTTAAATTAGTGAACTGAAATAAAATATTTTGTTGGGTTTCAGTTTCTAACTGAAATCTGTGGCGTTTATATATTTTCAGCCCCCCTGAGCCAATCGCTGTTCACTGCAATTAGGGAAAATGAATGCATTTTATTTGGAATAGCAGAAAAAGCATTCCCAAAGGATGATGCTGCCACCACCATGTTTCTGCACAGCCTTTTGCAGACCTGTGTGCTGGTCCTCATGCATAATGCTGTTAATGTCTTTTCTGTTGTTTTCTGAATCACTCACATGAGACTTTCACAGAATAACTGGTTTTTAGGACTTTAAATGGCTTCTGAAGGGAAAATTAGGAATGATGGATTTGATTTAGGAGTAAAGGAGCCTGAGTAAAAAATTCAAGTTGCATCTTTTTATGTTTAAGTGAAAAAAACAGAGAAAATACAATTAACTTTTGTCATCTGGGAGCTCTCTGAAGGGTTTATATGTTTCAGTGGACGTTAAAGCCCAGCCGTCAGTATCTTTATAATCCAACGCCTGCAGTCCCACTCAGACACGTGCTGTGAATTAATCTGACACTAATGACATCGAAGCTGCTCTGCCTCTCCATCCTCTTTACTAGAAAGTCATGCAGCCGCGCCCTCTGGAACAGGTGCCCCCCCTCATATGCTGCTTCAGTAACAAATGAAGGGAGCAAAGGATGGATGGGAAAGAGAGAGAGAGAGAGAGAGACCTCATACCTGCCAAGAGCTTCAAGCTGAGAGTGCTGTAATCTGAATAACAGCTTTTACTGGCCGGACTATATCGACCGGCCTCAGATTTAGCAACTCATTCCTAAAGCTTCCCTCCCTTTCTGACTTTTTCATTGTGGCGTCCAGGCTGTCTGCCTCCAGATGATGAGCATATTGGCAGCTGCATCACTTCCACCCTGTTGAGTTATTGAGATTAGTTTGCTGCTTTTTCCTGCCTGGTATGGAAGCTGGATGTGCCTGCAGCACCTCTGCGTGTTTGTTTCTGATCGAAAGTTGTTGGGGTAATTGTTATTGACTGACTGTATACCCTCCCCCACTTTTTTTTTTAAAACTTATATATTTATTTTTCATTTTGACCCAACCCCCCACGGTGAGAGGGATTCTGCTGAGGGGATGTTCTCCTCTTCATCCAGAAACTCTTTGTTGTCGCCTTGGACGTCCATGGAGCACTCCGACTCTGAAGCGCTGGACATCAGCACCAAGGTGCAGCTGCACGGCGTGCTGTGGAAGAGACCCTTTGGAAGGCCATCAGCCAAGTGGTCCCGCAGGTGAGAGGGGTGCGTGTGTTTGTGTTTCTATGTAAACTCTGTCTTAACTTGGTTTTGACTTCCATTACGGGATTATTTCAGACAGTTTGCTAAACTTTTGCATTTTGTACTGCACATGGAGGTAGTTTAAAAGCATTCAGAAGGATCTAAAATTAATAATTAAAGAATTATGTTATTTAGTCTGATTCTAAAATTCATAGAAAGTAAATGTGTATTTTCTGTCTAAAAAGAGACACTTAAGAGTTGATCTTAAGAGCTGTTTGTTAGAGAATAACTGCTTTATTTCAAGAAATTCCCCTAATAGAATATAAAGATACTCATCAGCTTTACATTGTGACCACTGAAGGTAAAGTTGGACTTTGTAGTTTGATGCTAAAGGGAACCTTTCATTGAGGGCTTGGTTGAATTCTGCAGCTTTCCAAACATCTTGATTCAACAATAGCAAATAACAAAAAGAGACTAGAAACAATAGGAGAATTCTAAAGCAAAATGAGAATTATTTCAGAGAAACATTTTCTTCATCTCTCAAACATGCAGCTTGTAGCATTGTGGCCCTCTTGCTGTTTCTGGGTTTGCTGAAACAGCAAATTCTGCTCGCTTGCTGAAAAATCTTGAACAAGATTGTCTCACCATCAGTTTGGGACCTTGAGCTTAAGTTCTGCAGTAGAGCGTTAATCCAAAGCACTGAAAATCCAGCATTAATGATATAACAAAAAGCTTTGTCAATTTAATTTTATTCAGGTTTATTTATATAGCACCTATTCACAACAAATTTAATTTCAAGGCACCTTACAGAGACAATTCAATCAGATCTTAGAGTCTGATTAAAAATTTTTTTATCAAAAAATCTATAAAAAAAAAATCTAATTGTGTCACGTTATTGACTGCAGGATTTGCTCCTCCTCGATGAACATGTGGCTACAGTATCAAGCATTCAACATGTTGTGGTCTGAGCAGTCAGTCAGTCCCAACAATAGCTGAGCCCACAGCTATGTCTAGGACAGAAACAGGACTAAACACACACAAAAAAAGGTCCAACTGTCATCTAGATTGAAGGCGTTGATAGTAGCAGCCCAGCTGATATTTTACCCTCCAGGATGGAGTTAGAACCAACAGAAATAGACCAGATGAAGCCACTATGGCGAGAAAAATCACAGAGTTAGTGGTTGAACTAACACATAATGCAGAATTGAAGAATAGAGATAGAATGAAGCAGAATTAGGAAAAGTGGTCCCTATGTCCTCCAGGAGTCTAAGCCTATGGAAGCATAACTATAAACTTTATCAAAAAGGACAGTTTTAAGCCTTCCCTTAAAAGTAGACAGGCTGTCTGCCTCACTGACTAAAACTGGTAGTTGGTTCCACAGGAGAAGAGCCTGATAACTAATAGACCTGCCTCCCATTCTTCTTCTAGAAATTCTTGGAACCAGTAGTAAACATACAGATTCAGAGTGCAGTGCTCTGTTAGGAACATACAAAATGATCAGATCTCTGATCTATAACAGGGAGCTTGGTTAATTAGGGCTTTTGTGTGAGAAGGAGGATTTTAAATTCTATTCTGGATTTAAAAGGGAGCCAGTGAATGAAAGTAAAGATAAGAGAAATATGATCTCTCTGGCTGCAGAATTTTGGATCAGCTGAAGGCTTCTAACTACAGCTTGTGGATTTCCTGATAGTAAAGAATTACAATAGTCAATCATTTTTAGTTCTGGACTCAGATCCGGTGCTGTCTGACATGGCTTTAAACAGGTCAATCATGCTTGAAAACCTTCCAATGTGGCTAAAAAATAAAACTATTATGCAAAGAAGAGTTAGTTTAGATTCCTTAAAAGTGACGTAAAACTGTTTCTGCAAATGCTTGGTGGCAGCTACCAAGGGTTGAACAACTCATGGGTTAGGGATTTAGAGTTTGTGATTTTTCATCAGCTGAAAAATGCATTTTATTTCACGTTACCAAACTTTCTGAATGCATGCACTTGTGCTATTTTAAGCTTTTTGCAAATTTCCGGTTGTGCCATGAATAGATGTTTACAAAAAGTGATGAAATTGTTCTGTTTCAAATGTATTAAAAGCAGTGTTGGGCACGTTACTTTGAAAAAGTAATTAGTTATAGTTACTAGTTACTTCTCCCAAAAAGTAACTGAGTTACTAACTGAGTTACTCCACAATAAAAGTAACTAGTTACTAGTAAAAGTAACTATTGCGTTACTTTTGCGTTTCTCGCCCCCGTAAACCTCACCACCCGGCCCCCACCTTCTCGCCGTGTGTTTCCAAGCCAGCTGAATAGAGCGGACGACAAAGACAAGAACCTGCAGACAGTTTAGCATTTATTGCAACTCAACGTAAATGACATCAGGGGGGAACGCGATGTGAAGTTTTATAACAGGACATTCAGATCCGGTGAGTATATGAAATTAATAACTGGGAATGCCTAATTCTGAAATCCTTTGTGTTTGGGTTGTTATAGATACTGCAACATCTATCTATCCATCTATCTATCTAGATGTATACTCTGTGTGTGACATAAAATATGGATCTCCATCCCTGCCACAAAGGCCATCAAATAATGTTTAAAATGAAAAATACAGTAGGTTGAGAAGGCAGAGCATCCATCCATCCATCCATCCATCCATCCATCCATCCATCCATCCATCCATCCATCCATCCATCCATCCATCCATCCATCCATCCATCCATCCATCCATCTTTCTCCCTTTCTCCATATAGGCTATCATTTCTGGCTGTTGTCAGGTTCATTTGATCGTTCACGCTCTCCATAGTTCTCCTGTGGCGCGAGCACAGGGCGACTGTTGCGCGCCTTTAGCGAGCATGCGTGTTTCCTGTCGCTTGCGCGGTGACTCTTGCCGCCTGCGCTGTGTGGAGATGCAGAGGAAACCGTTATGTGATGGGGAAACGCAGCTCTACGTAACACCGGTATTTCCATGTGGAAAACGCTGTTTTGCTGCTGGAGTCATCCTCACTCTCCATCTCTCTGTGTGTGCTGTACGTTAACACCCGCCAGCAGAAACACCCACCTATTCAACTGACAGACGGAATCTCATCCTCCCCTCTCTCATGACAAGGCGCGCACCTCTTGATGACCTAAAAAATAATCTTTAATATCTCTTAAACAAAAGTAGCACAAACAATATTTTTTTCTGCACAAATCTGCACTAACGTTGCACTAACCATTCAGTCTATTTGCAGAGTTTTTTGACGTGGGTGGGGTGTCAGCTTCACGCAGCTGCGCACGAGTCCCATCATGAAAAAAGGTTCATTGTGCGACCTGAGTAACGCGCAGTAACGGGGTGTCTGCAATGGTAACTGCGTTATAGTTACAGTCAAAGTAATTAGTTAGATTACTCGTTACTAAAACAAGGTAACGGCGTTAGTAACGCCGTTAGTTTCAACGCCGTTAGTCCCATCACTAATTAAAAGGCTGTAATGCACAACATGTTTAAACCTGGACATAAAATGTGCTTTGAGAAATTCATAGCAGTGAGTATTTAACAGGTTAATAATGAACAAAATGAAGTTAGCTGAGCTGCCTAGCAGTACTCATTATGTAGAATATAGAAGGAGAATTGGCAGATGTTGTTTCACTCAATGCTGCTCTAATTTTCTCCCCGCTACAAAGATTCTTCGTCATCAAGGACAGCTTCTTGCTCTATTATGCAGAGAACGAGAAGAGAAACTTTGAGAGCAACAGGTATTTCAATATCCATCCCAAGGTGAGCAAGCGCCTGACGACCATCAGCAACAAGTGTTAGAAGTGTGTCTCTAAAGGCCTGCTCTGATTCTGTGTCAGGGAGTCATTCCTCTGGGAGGATGTGTGGTGTCAGCCAACGAGGACATGGGGATGCCTTTTGCCATTGTGGTCAACCTTGAAGATTTCACAGTAAGATCACTGTTACTATGCACAGAATTATCTCTGTATTCATATCATTTAATAGATAATTTTATTCAAGACATTAATTAAACCCAAGATGCCTGATTTTATATTTTGCTTTATGATGAACTGAAAACTAGATGACAGGAACCCAATGTTTAACAGGGTGGGTTACCTCTCATTCTTCTCGAGTAAGACTCTTACTCTTCCTTTTTTTCAGCTTGATCATATCCTTTGAATCCTAACTAGCAATAGATAAGTGTTCGCAGACTTTTCCTCAAAGTCTATGCAGAATCCTGTTCCACCATCTGATGAATTCCTCTTAGACCTGGAAGGGTTCATTTAAATTGATATCCTGGCATTGGGCCTGGTTATGAAGCATTATCCATACATTTTCACTTTAAGGTTAAACTGGGAGCAACCCAGAAACGTAACTAATTCCAGTGAAGTTTTAATATTTATCCTAGTAGAGGACCCAGTAAAGTTTTCTGAGGTTTTATAAAAAAAAAATATTATATCTTACTCTTTCAAATTTTATTATTCAGATTTCTCTCTTTCATATTGACTTGCATTCTTTTTAAAACGTGTTTTACAGATCCCATTGTTGGGTTTTAATCCAGAGAAATGTGAGTTTAAAAGATTAAAAGGAAAATGATCAACACAGAGACAGGGTTTTGTGACGTCAGTGTGTGCCGGGTGGAGAGAAGATACTGGCTCGGAAAAAACCAGCACCTTCTCACCCAGATCCCTTCATGGCAAAGCCTTTTATTAACAGTTTACAACATCAAACAGGCGGGCCTAAAACAGAAGAGCCAGTAATCATTGTCTGGGAGGATGCAGGTAACAAGATAGTGTGAATTGACCAACTGGCTGGATGGAAGTCACACAGCCGTGTGATTCTGCCTCATGACCTACAGGAGGTCATAAAAGTTTATGACCCTTCTGGTTGAAACACAGGATAGATATCACTCTAACACCCATTTTCTTAACGTCTGAGGTGGGGAGTGAAATACATTTCTTTTGGTCTGCTTGCACTTTAGAAACATTTGTACTGGGCTTGAAGTGAAGAGAATTCGATCTGTGAATTGCAAGTTGAAAATGTTTGTAAAACGAAATTGAAAAAAAACTAAATTTGAAAATATAAAATGTGTAAAAATGTTGGACAAAAAAAATATCATTAGAAATAGATTAAATCTGAGAAAACAGTAAAGTTGCTATCAGAAATGTTTGATTATTGGATTTGTTCATATTTATTCATTTGTGGTATACAATTTTTTTCTCAAATCATCATTTACAATACATAATTTCAAATGTGTATTTACAAAACATTTTTGTTTGCAACAATAAAGGAGCAAAATTCCCTCTGTACTAAATTTAAACCTTTAAGAAAATGTGGACCTGGCTCCATATAAAAGCCAAATATCTCCTGGATATATGTTTTTACACCTGGATTAGAAGACAATGATTTAATTTGCAAAAATAAAGAAATGTATCAAGTTAAAGCCTTGAGAGAGTGTCAGCTGTCAAGCATGGTGATGGTATCATCTGCCTGAGACTTTGTCCCAGTGCACAAAGTTAATGGTCAGTGAAGAAGAAGGAAAACCTCCAAATACTGCAGCAGCTGGATGGTTGAAACAGGCAGAACTTGGTGCTCAGTTAACAGCTCAGGTTTTGTTAACATTTGGGTAAAATATACCCAAATGTTAACAAAACCAGTTTAAGACTGGATCAAACTGGCTAACAATAAGATTTAGAAAAATGAACCAGTGTCCACCCTGTTGAAAGTTCAGTTGCTATGATTAAAGAGCATTTTCGTGCTGGAAGTAGAAGCCAAATGAGCTTCATTAGAAGCTTTATTAGCATTATTAAAAGAATAAATGTCTCAGATTTAGCCAGAACTGTAGTAGCAGCTGTTTATTTGGCTCAAAAAGTTGGTAACTTTGCTTCAACTTAACATTTATCTAGATATTGGTGGGGATGAAATAATTATATCAAAACTGTTTGCACAAATCTTGTTTTTAACAACTTTTTCAATTGTTATTTTGTTTTATTACTTCAGCTTGGGAAAAGAACGGTTCAAATGCATAATTACAACTTTTATTATTAGTACTATGTGTTTATAAACTTCTGCTTTGAACTGTAGATTATAATATATTCCAAAGAATTAAACCTCACCAAGCCATCTGGCTGTTTTAAGGGTTCGTCCTCTTTATTTTAAGAAATATGTGACTTTGAATTAACGGCTGAACTGTGTCTGTCCTCCAGGGTACCATAGTCCTGGCTGCTGAGTCTGAGGAGGAGCAGGTCCAATGGATGGAGATGCTCCAGGACTCAGGGAAAGTGTGAGTATCCTTATAAAGCTCCATCTCTGGCTGGAGCCAAAAGATTGGAAAGTGATTTGTTTTTTAAGAAATGTTAGAAGTTTTAAATTTCCTCCTTGCATTTTTTTTTTTTGACTTTGATGACGGTCAGCACATGGAAGAACTCCCAGCTCGGGGAGGCCATGATTGAAAGCCTGGAGGCTCAGGGACTGCAGCTGGCCAAGGAGAAACAAGAATACCTGGGTAAACAGGAGGAAGGTCATCGCGGAGGTAAAGATTGTTTACTGGAGGCCGGTTTTGGTCTAATGTGTTTGTTTCCTTTAAGACAAACTGATGGAAGAGACAGAGGAGCTAAGCCATCAAAGAGCACAGCGGGAGGTGAGACTGTTGTTTTGGTGTTTTTTTTGGATTTGTACCTCAAATCCTAGTCCACTAAATTCTGCATGTCTGCAGGAGCTGGAGCGTCTCAACCAGGTCCTGGAAGAGGAGAAACGGAAGTTTGAGGAGGTGGTTCTGGAGCTGAAGGCAGAGCAGGAGCAGATCAAACTGTAATCAGTATTTTACAATAATGACTGCAGTGTCTAAAGCTGTATTAAATTGACTATATACCCATTTTATTTTTTTATTGTGGTTTTAGAGATCTGGATGGTACAACTAGGTCCCTTAAAAGTGTTGACCGGGAAAAAGAAGAGCTGAGTTGCTTAACAGTTACACTTCAGAAGTCTATAGAGGTATTGAACCATTCAATCCAAAACGGTTGAGCAAGTCTTCTGCACTTTATGGTTGAAAGGCTTTGTTTCTTCTCTGAGATTCTCTGTGGAGTTCCAGATAAATTCAACCCTATAGGAGGCAGCTCTGCACAGTGGATCAACCAGTTAATGTTGACATCCAACTGGTTGCTCACATGCAGACGAGCTGAGAGGCTGAGTTCACCTGCGACTATGGGGCATATGTCCTTATGAAGACCAAAATTCTGGTCCCCATATGGTAAAGTTCTTTTCTTTGAGCCGGGATTAGGTTTAGAACTAAGGTTGGAATTCAGTTTAGGTTAGGGTTAGGTATATGTTGGTAATAGTTAGGGTTAGAGTCTGGGTTAGGCCATATAAATGGGGTTAGGGTTAGGTCAATGAAATGTCCCCGTAAATCATGAAAACACAACAGTGTGTGTGGGTGTGCGCACATGGTGTACTTGTGATTGACAGGTTAAAGCAGCAGAATTTGACCTGTTAGTTTGTGTCTTTTAAGTAAAAATGTTCGGATACTTCTAACAATATAATAAATGTGGGAATTATTTTTCCCAGGGCCAACCCAAACCTCCATGGGGCCATAAGCAAAATTTAGTTTAGGGGCCCTCTATGTCTGCCAATAATATTGATTGCTGTAATGAACAGTTGGATGATCAGATCACTGATGCACCTACTAATAACTCCTTGCAGCTCTGGAGGTGATGTATACAGTCTACTATCTATATAAATCATCTAGTTTTGCTAAAAAAAAAAGTAAAGGAAAGTAGTATGTAGTTCACTTACAGTTAAAGTATCATGTGGTTTATACTCTCTGTTCTCAGCAGCAGAAGAAAAAAACAAAACTAATAATAATGAATAATACTGAAAGATCAAATTGTACAAAACTGAGAATTAAATAATATAAACTGTAAAATATTAAGCATGTTCTTAAATAGTGGAAATAAAAATTATGGAAATATATGTAACCAGGTTCTATTTAAAAACATAGCTCTCATTATGAGAGAGATAAGTGAGTAAATAATTTCTGCTGTAGGATAACATCTCTATCTGACTGTTCGTAAAAAAATAATCTGTGTCAATTTGGTCCTAAGACTATTTTAAAAAAAAAGCGATGATTTTGAAGATGTATTGATTTAAAAATGCACATGAATTCATCTTTGCATGTTGCTACAACCATACAGAAATCATTATCCATGCAAAAATAAACAAAATTGTCCTTGGCCAGGCATGATTTTTCCCTGCTGAAACTACAGTTCTTTGCATCTTGATGCACCATGGATCCCTCCTGTTCTTGTTTTTTTAAGGAACTCTCTCAGGAGAAGCAGCGTAGACTTCTGCTGCTGGGGATGAAGGAGGAAGAAGAGAGGGAGGTGGACAAACAGAGTTTGGAATCAACATGCAAAGAGTCTGTGGATGATGAGGAGCCTCAGGATCCGGAGTTGCTGCAGGACCTTCGACACATCGAGGAGCAAATGAAGATCCTGCTGAAGGAGAAAGAGCAGGCGGATGAGCAGTGAGTGTCTCCATCAATCATGAAAATCTGATTATGAAGAAACCTGCAGGTTGTGGACTGCAGGTTGTGGTGGTCATGCTGCATGTCCTCCTGTATTAAGTTCTTCCAGGGGAGCGCCTATGCTAATGGTACAGAGGATGGTGGAAATCTGTATTGATCTGAAAACAAGCAGCTCAATGATAATGTGCACTAAGTGGGATGGCACGGGTTGGTTTTATTGACTGTGAGGCACTAATGTTCAGCTTCGAGTGCTGGAACATGCAATCCATTGCACAATGATCGGGTCCTCAGACTGACAGCTGGGCTGCATCACATGGACAACGTGCTGCATGAACGGACCGGCTCCTACTCACACGACACACAGCATCACAGCAAAACCCCACTCACACACTACACACACCAGTTAAACTTTCCTCCTTTCACAAAACAGGATTTTATAAGAAAATAGAACCCAAAAACAAAATTGCTTCAAGAAATAAAAAGCAGCTTTTTTTTTTTAAAACAAAATGATCTTATATATTTTTATATATGAGTCTGTTTTTTTTCTTATCTACAATCTTTATGTTTTTTAATTTTTATTACTCTCATTTTATTAGTTTTGTTGTAGATTTAATATTTTATAAAATCATTATTTTTTATTTGTTTTATTCCTTGGATTTGTAAAGCACTTATGTTCCGTTTGAGTGTGTAAAGTGTCCTCTACACATTAAAAAGGATTAATTAATAAAAAACAACACAATGGTATTGAGTAGTCACTTTCATTAATTTAAAATATATAGCAGTTAAAGAATATCTGAATTACATGTTAGTGCGTTAAGATAAAATAGTACCTAAGATTTCCAAAAAGATTAAAATCTAAAAGATCTCAAACATCTTCAAACAATTTATTTATATAGAATACATTTACAAAACCTTAACAAATAAAATATATTTTAAATTTATCATTTCCATGTTTACCTTTGCTGAAGCATGGTGGTGGCAGCGTCATGTTGTTGTGCTCCTCTTCTATTGTCTGATGCTAAGTCTTTCTCAGATTAGTTTGACTAAATTTGAGCCAAATTTGTGAAGTTCAATTTCAGTCTATAAGACTAGAAAAGTATCCTTCTCTTTTCTCTGCATTTTATGGACTACTCTGTGATGATCCATCACATAAAATCCCAATACTGAAGTTTGTTAGGTTTCCGTGGAATTGTCAAATAAACAGAACCATGCAATAAGTAGAAAAGTTCAACATTAACATTACTTTTGGAGGACAACACATTTTTGGAGAGATTCCTGTTTAATTAAATTTTCTGTTTCACTGTGTTTCATTGCTTCAGGCTCCATGAGAACGAGCAGCGATCTAAACTCCTGCAGCAGGAGAAGGAGTACTACTCCACTCAGGCTCAGACGCTGCAGCAATCGCTCTCTCAGCTGACGGCGGACAAGCAGCAGACTGAGGCCGAGCTCAAGGTATCAAAGCAAGGCTCAGCAGCTCCCAGGCTGCAAACACACACCACCAAAATTATGTTTAATCTACAGTGTTTAACAACATAATAATTAAGTCATATTTCTGTTTATTTAACAAATAATAGTCATTTATGAACTCTATTTGAAACAACATTCGATGTGACTTTGATTCCGGCTGCCACAAGGCAGAGATCCAGTCCCGCATGGAGCTTGAACAGAGGCTGAAGCAGGCTGAGGAGGCTCTGCAGGATCTGGAGAAGGGCCTGAACTCACTGGAGCGAACCAAGGAGAGAGATGAGAAGATGAAAGGCGATGTGACGCATCTGAGAAGTAAGTGTATTAGCAGCTGATGCTTGTTTGCATGCATTAATCAGCTCACTGTGTGCGGAAGATCTGCGTTAGGGCAGATGGGAGCTGCCTGATGGTTCCACAGGGAGAAAGCTCTGTACTCCAGGGTGGCAGTCTGTCCCTGACTGTCTTCAGTCTGCTGGAGATTTGTTTAGGATCTCTGTGCTTCTGCTGACCCGTTTTGTTTTAGAGCAGTTGAAGCTGATGGACAGGTTTTCTCACATATGACCGTAGATCTTCTTATGCACTGTGGTCACAACAGTGAAATCTGTTCTCATTTTTGATACTTAATTTTTATTGAAAGTTTCCAAACCAGCATTTCCTGTTCTTCAAGAGCAAAGGGTCAAATTACTGATTAACTTATCTTAGTTTGAGCAGCATTCACCATGTCTGGCAAATCATTAACTCTCCAGAGTCTGGTCCATATGCTCAATCTTTTGGAGTGGATCCTCTTTTAATCTCAACCGAAAAGTCTAAGAAATTAATTATGTTCCATTTTTGTTGCAAACAAAGAACACATTTTGTAAATGGAAATACAAAAAAAACAAACAAAAAAAACAAAAAAAACAAAAACATGAAAAATCTTAAATAGATGAAAAAAATGCAATCCAGAAATGAAACAATGAAATCCTTTTTTATATAGTATAATTTATCTGTTTTTAAAATCTCTAGTTTTACGAATTGTATCCTTTCCAAACTGCATTTCATAGGTAACATTTTCTTCCCTTAAAGCCCTATACAAACACTCTCCTTTGATGCACATACTGACCAATAATATGTTGTTAATAACATCTATTAAGACCAATGGAGATGTCTTTGCTCTCCATTCCAGAGGAAAAACTCACCCCAGAAGTGAAAATAAGGAGATCTATAAAAAGCAATTTAAATAAATGAAAAAAGAAAAAATAAGTCTAAAAACATAAAATTAAAAGAAAAAAAAATAATAATTTTAAAATGTAAAATTTGTAATTAAAAATGTTTTTTAAAAAAAGGTATTAAATATAACTTTAAAAAATATGGGGGGAAAAAAATCAAAGTTACCCTCAAAACTATGTTTTTGACAATTTCTTTTCAAAGTATAATTTCTGGATTGCATCTTTTAAATTTCAATTTCTAAAACGTGTTTTTCAAATTTCCATGTGAAATAAAAAAATTTTTTCTTGCAACAAGCATGGAACAAAATTCACCACATAAAATTCAGCGTTACCATTATGTGAGTCTCCTAAACTGTTTTCTGAGTAATGCATGGCACTGAGATCTTTTAGTATTATTTATCATTAGATTCTAGACCATGAGGACTGGCTTCTAACAATAGTAAAACTCCTATAAAGTTCTTCGATTGATGAAAGATGAAGGAACTGGGTCTAGAGGAAATATTTGGACCATTTCAGATGCCAGCCCAAGACTTCCAAAATGAAGTCTTGTGCTGCAGTTAAAACGGATTATCCATCGAGGTTTCTCTAAAAATAACCTTCCAGGATGGTTTATTTTTGGGCAGGACCAGAGAATGTGATGGTGGTTTTGCATTTTTGTTTCTGCAATTTTGAAATTGTGAAAGGTGCAACTAAAAAAAAAAAACATTATCACTGAAGTTTTTTTATTCCATCGCTTATTATATTATACCAAGAAGCATTTTTGGCTGAACATTGTTCTTCTGAGCATTTTGTGCAGTAAGTTTGTATTTTCTGTTTTAAAAAAAATTAAACAGACAAGAGAAAATGTCTGATAATGTTAGACTAATTCTAAAGATTCAGTCTTGGTCTTAGGAAGTCCAGTCTTATTTCCTGCCTTAGCCTCATAGGATCCAGTCTGAAGCACCAACTTCATCTCTACCACTCTACCAACTTCCTTGCTGCTTTATGTTTAAAATTTTTGAATAAATTTGTTTGAGTTTAAAATCTGATTCAAAAGTGGGTCATCTGAGAACTCCTACCTGCAGATTTAGTTTCTTAAACACTTGAAATCAGGACTATGGTGAAAAATGGTTTCATTATTTATCCTGTATTATAACTCCACTATTATATATGTAAATATTCCATATTCTAACTTTCCTGTATAATTTGTATATAGCTTCCATATTTATTTTATAACCCCTTACAAATACTAATGTACTTGTGACAGTGTAATGACAATAAAGTAATTCTATTCTATTCTATTCTATTCTATTCTATTCTATTCTATTCTATTCTATTCTATTCTATTCTATTCTATTCTATTCTATTCTATTCCAAACATGATTGCCTACTAAAGGAATCAATTATTTTAGGCATCTTGCTGCGTGTTTCTGATCTCCAATCAATGCTTGTTTCTGAATATTTCCTCCCATTATGCTTCTCCTTCAAACTTTCCGCCACAAGAATCATCAAACCACTTTATCACTATTTTAGGTTGAGTTGTCAGGTAATAATCATTAGGCTTTGGTAGAAATAAACCTCCTTAATCTGGTTTTACTGTAACTCTGGGTTTCTTCCAAATAATACTATATATCGCGTTGTCTGAGTTATTCTGATAGGCAGAGATATGAATAAATAGTAAACTGTATTTAAAGATCTTTACTGTCATAATAACAGGCTTTGATGGTAATTTCTGGATATTCCCCCAGTTCATAATGCTCCTGCATCAGTGCATACACTGCCACCTATTGACCAGTCAGTGTAAGTTCATGAAAAATATTGTACCAATATGAGACTCTCATGGGAAGAAAAAAACAAGAAAATTTTTAGGATCAAATAATAATAATAAAAAAACAGCAAGAAAATACATTTTCTTATTTGACTTTATGATTCTTTGTAACTCCATTTAATATTTTTTGCAGGTTCTATGGGCTGTGTCTGTTATATTTGATTTCTGTTTTTGTTCTGTAAAGTTAAAGTGTATTAAACTGATTTAGGAAGGTCAGTGGAGCTGATGATGCTTGTGTCAATGCCAAAAGAAGGAATTGGTTTTAGGAGATCCTTAAGTTACTGAAGAGGCCGACAAAGATGAGGATTTACTTGCTGCTATATTTTGTCATATCTTAACCTTATTATAGCCCTTATATACTTTTTGTTTTGTTCTTAAGGATCAGTTTTTCATTGAGCATAATTTGAAAATAGTCAAATATTTGTCCAAATTAGCTTAATAGCAGCAATCTTCTTAGAAATGTAAAAATATAGCATCATTAATTTGTCCCTAACATATTATGTTCATTTCCTCTACTCCTTCTGTCTCTCTCTGCTCACTTCCTTTACGATTATTTTTTGTCAAAGATACTAGCACCACAGAAAAGGTAAAAAAAAAAAAAGCAAATGGGTGGAAAAATCCTAAGTGAGTTTATCCTAAATCATAAGTCAAATGGCTGCACTTGTTTACCATTCAGACAGGTTGTGTTTTAATTAGGTCCACAAGATGTTTTCATCATATGGTTCCAAAACAAGCCCGTATCATGAGCCTTCCACCACCATGCTCAACACATGTCGATTTGAGCAAGGTCTTTGTTTTGGTATCATTTTGGTTATTATGTTAACATACTGTTAATATTGTAGATTACTTCCTTCATACTTTGCAAGAGAAGGTTTTTACCAGCTCTCCTTAAAATAATCCGTACGTGTTCTTACCGGATAAATGAGTAAAGGGTCCACTGGTAGTTGAAGCAAGCGTGGTTGTAAAATGTTTGTTTAATCTAAGACTCCTCGATGTTTCTCCCTCTGAGGACTAAGACGAACCTCTTATTCCCCCTTTTATATTTTTTTCTATTAACTCAAAACTTTTTTATCCACTTTTTGTATAGTTTCTAATTCATGATTACATTGTGGTGAAACCGACATTTAAACAGTAGAACAAGTACATAAATATATTTTATTGTCTGATCTGTTTATCCAGAGTTCTTTGAGGAGTGTATCTGTGCAGCGGAGATAGAGGCGAAGCTCCCAGCTATAATGAAGAACGCTGTTTACCTTCACAAAGCTGCTGCTCGGAGAATTAAGAGCTGCCGCATCCAAAGGAGAGCTTCCAGACGCCACTGGTGTAAGTCTAAGCTTCTCACACTGACCAGGTCGATGACACACTTTGAAATTTACATCTAAAGATTTATTTTGAAAGTAAAAATCCAAAAAGTGTTCCTTATATTCAGCTCTCTTTATTCTTATACTTCCTTATAAATTCCCCTGCTACTAACTGCCTTAAGGAGCTTTTTAGTGCTGCTTCCTCTGTCATGCAGAGGAAGCAGGAAGCATGCAGAAGAAAGAGCTCCGGTCAGTTGAGACTTATTATACTGGTTGACTAACATTCAAAATACAATAAGTGGGGAAAAAAACTACATCTTCTCATCAACCTGAACTGTTAGTTCCTATGAGGTGAGGGTAGTGGAAGCACCATCCTGTGGGGATTATTTTCTTTTTTTCAGAGACTCTCATCTTTAATAGTGCTTGATGAAAGATATTAGATGCTGCAAAAAAGCTAGTTAGATATGTGATAATAATGGTGAGATAATCCAGACAGCCCTTTCTGACCCCAGTCCAGCGAAATAAAACGCATATAGAGAAAATATGTGATCTTTTTTTATATTTGAAAACTAGTTGAAACATAAAAAAACTACTATGGGAACTTTATTTTTTTGTAAATAACCAACATTTCATCTAAAGTTTAAAAACCTTTAAAAGCATGCCATTTCCTATACCTTGACATTTTTTTTTTTAGAAAAAATACTACCGTAATATAAATCCAAGGTCATTATTGCATAAAAAGTTGAAAAACTCTGTATGTTCTGTATGCATCTCTATTTACAAAACACTCGCTGAATCATTTTTCCAAATCTTTTGATAGCCATTTTGGAAACTCCAAGGAGCCACTTCTGGTCATTGAGCCACAGGTTGATGACCCCTTGATTTAGACCATAGAATATTGTTGTGTTCCAAAAATCCAGAAAAAAAATAAAAAATCCAGATCTAAATCCATTTGGCAAATGGCAGCAAGATTTTAAAATGGATGTTCTGGACTCTTTCCATCTCATATGAGGAGGTTTGAGCAATTGTTTACAATAAATGGATAAAACTGGTAGAGATATAGCCTAGAATACTTGCTGCTATATATGCAGCAAAACCTGGCTCTAAGTGACTGAATACAAATCCACTTTTCAGGTTTTTACTTTTTTTTTTTTTTTTTTTATCATTTACAATTATTGTGAAATACTTTGGGGTCTGTGATTTTAACATGAAAAATGTAGAAAAAAGAAAACAAATCTTCCACATTTTTGTTGTTGGAAACAGTTAAACTGTTCAATGTGATCAATTTGATTTTAGTGAAACACTCCAAGTCGTTTGCTGTGGCTGACCCCGACGATGGCAGCATGGAGGAACTGAGGGCGACGGCTCGAAGGCTGACTTCTGACAGCAGCTTCAGGGAGAGCGTGTACAAGATTGTCGTTCGCAAGGAAGCCGCAAACACCATAATGGACTGAACGGAGGATGGAAAGGCAGAAATGGTCCTTTAGTTTTATTTCAGTCAGCAGATATTTGGAAAAAAAAGAGAACCTGATCCCAAGCGTACCATTAATGTAGCCACACACATCTGTTCAATGGAAATCTTGGATCTGTCAAAATAAAGTAATAATAAACAATTCAGTCAAATTGAAACTCGACTAATTTAAGTAACACAAAATGCTTTGGAAATGTTTATGTTGCTTATGGATTGTTTTTTTTCTGTTTCTATTTTTGCACTTTATTTTCTCAGTTTCTTAAAAAGTCCAACAGAAAAAGTGTTTAAACAAAGTTAATTTATGGTTTAACCAAATGGGAAAGGTCACCTTAGATTGCTTTTGCTTCCACAAAGAAAAAAATATCAGTATCTTTTGGGATTTACTCCAGTTATATCCTTTTATATTTTTTTTCTTTTTGCCTAAAATATTTAGGTAAAAGACAAAGGTCTCAACAGAAGACAGAGTATTTTAATGGAGCTGTACTTTTGATTAGACTTTAATAGACCAAAGATTTCCATGAACTGCAGAAGTGCAAAAGCGTTGCTTTCTGACAACAATACTCTTTATCTCTTTATAGCTTGTAAAGAGACAGATTTTTCAGCTGGATGGAAAAGTGACAAAGTTTTACAACAGATGATTCAACTAGTTATACATTTCAGTGTAATCTGCCCTGATTATTCTCTCTAATCAGTTTGTTTTCTTCCATGTATGATATTAAAAAGATAATTGAAATATATTAAATAGTGCTGCACTGATGAATTATAATTTGAAATGATTGGAAGATTAATAATAACAAAAAACAAATATTCTGTATAACTTTTAATGTTAAGACATCCTAAAAGATTAAAATGTATTAAAGTTATAAAGTACTGGAGAAGAGTCGGCATCCTCCACACTGATTGGCAAAGGTCAGTACAAAGCCTTATAATCAATCTTTAACTGTAGAAGCACTGTCTTATTTATATTTAAAAAAGGGTCTTTAGTTTGACTACATTGATTCAGTGAGGAAAAAACTGAGAAACACAGAGATGGTTATCTGATGAACAATTGTGGCAAAAAGTTTATCTTCTTAAGCAACTTAAAAATTCATTTTGGAGAGAGAAAGAGTTACCTTTTTACTTTGTTTTAAAAACTGGAGTAATTAACTCTTAATTAACACATTTTATATGTGATCATGAAACTATTGTCCTGAGGAAAATAAGCTTTTTCCACCTCCTGTTAGACAGAAAGAATGTTAAACCCTGGGAAAGTCACTGGGTGCTGTTTGTTCTATCGAAAAAAATGATCTGATGACAAAAATGCAGACTTTGATGCATTGTCCTTTTATTCTTTATTTCTCCACTGATCTGACCAGGATATAGAAAAAGGAAAAATGTATTACCTTGAACAAAGAGTTGTATGGAACATATCAAAGATAACATGGAGTACATTTTCCACCTCTAAGCCCAGCAGAACTTCCAAGTTTCACATCTCAGTTGCCGCCATGTTTAGAGGCCTTCTGATAAACATTTTCATTCCTTATTGTTTGATATCAAATAAAGTGAAAGGAAGGATAATACAACCTTGAAGTTCACTTTATTTATCCGTAACAGTTTTTTTCAGCTGATAAGAGCAAAGATCTCAAAGATGTAATTCTTATCAATTTTGTCATTTCAACATCTGAACAGCTTTTTTTAAAAATAGAAACCCATTAATTTAAAGAAAAAACATTCAGCTCATTCAATAAAAAAGGGAAAAAAAAAGCCCACATGAAAAACAGGAAGGTAAGAAGGAACAATTAACAGATTGATCAGCATGCCTTGCTATGAATAAAGCTGTTTTTGAACCTTAATGCAGAAAAGGCAGCTGCTTCTTCTAAGGGTTCTTCTCTTAGCAGCCTATCACTGATGATGATATAATACCAACAGAAATGTAGAAAAAACACTTTTATATAGCTGTATTTCAATCAGAGGAGAACTGCTTGTTTTGGGGAAAGGTTAGCAGGTGGCTGTGTTTAGTCATCTCCTCTCAGTCATCTCTGAGACCTGCAGCAAATAATAAAGACAATAGAATAAGACAATTTAAGACAACTTTTCAATATAGTGTCAAATCAAAGCAACCATGTTGTCCAATAGCTTTTAACAGACTTCAACATTTTAACATTTAATAACATAAAAAGCATAAAAAAAAGAATATAAGGCAGAATAAAAAACCCAAAACATTAACAAGCATATGCTTGAGCTCTAAGACGATAACCATGGATATAAAGTCTCTATATCTGTGACAAAAACACATGGCAGTGGCATAAAAAAAACTTTTAAAATTAATTAAATAAAAGCTATGTGATCCAAATTGCTCTTATTTAGCTTTATGACTCCAGTTGATTTATTCAGTTCATTCATACAAACAGGCACTGCAGTGCTCCAAATCTGCCTGGTTTCATTGAGACATAAAGCTGTGTGTCATCTACATATAACTGTATTAAACCATCCATTCTACTCCTTATAGGTAGTTTTGTATTTCTTAAAAAATGGAATAGTTTATTGGTTCACCTGCATCACAATTATATCCTGTATATTTTCATCAAGATACAGGTATGCAAGAGATCTCAAATAAAAATAAAAATGTTACAATACTCTCCTGAAACTCTCATAATAACTCTATTGTCCTCAAATAAAACGTCAAATTAATATATTGTTGCAATCTCCCCTTCAGGCCATGAAGGGAATGTTTAGAGGCTTTTTTTTTTTTTTTTTTTTTTTTTTTTATAAACCAATGAATTCCTGAGGTCTGACTTTGCATTTTAATTTTTCTTCTCTAAAAGAATATGCAGCCTCAAAATTCATTTTGTGACATTTAGTTTTTATTCAACAAATAAATGTCATAAAAGGGTACCCAACAAAAGTGATCAGCTTTCACAAAGGTCATAATAAAAAAAACAACAACTAAAGATTAAGATTATCTCCATCTGTGTATTACCCTTTATCTGTTTCTCATCAGATTTAAATCAAAGTCATCAACCAAATGTTTTCAGTTGATGTTACCCCTTACACCCTAAGGGGATATAAATAAATTTCTGCCTTACAAAAACACACAAAAGTAAATAACTTATAGCCTCAAAGCCCTTTTGGTACCTCTGTAAAGGTAAGATGTCATAGAATGGTTTTCTGGTGTCAGCACCATTGTAGCTTTGACCCTGCCTGAAATATTAGGGACAAAATACAAAATATTTTGCATTTTTTGAACCTCGCCAAAATTTTCTTTGAAATAAACATTGCAAAACACTACCAAAATATTATTTATAGCACAAAAAAGTAGTACAGACTTTCAAATCTAAATGTTGTGTAAAAATATACCAAGTTTGGACTCAATCAGATGAATCATATTTATTTTAGAATGGTATTAGTGAGAAATTTCTTAGGCGGAGGGGCCAGTTTGGCACATTTATCCATAAATGTCACCAAACTGTGCCAAATAAGTTTTTACATCAATACTGGGGCTTTGGTAAAATTACGAGGTCATGTAGCAGCTGGACCCGCCGGTGGGTCCGTAGGGTTCAAGGGGTTAAATCCTGAAAGAAACTTTAAATTTTGCAGCATTTACTAAATATGTTTTACTACTTTTACTCTATTGGAAAACTTTCCCATGTAGGCTGCCTTATTGGTACATTTTTGTAGTGTAATATTGCCATTTTCATTTTTTAGGTAGGGTTTGAGACACATGTTTTTATTTCACATTACTTTGTCACTTTCTTAAAAATGTCTGCAGAGGTTCTGTCTTCAATCACTGACATACTGTACAAAAGGATACTTCCAATTCTGACATATTAATTCATAACTCTGAGCAGATGCTCGAATCTCCCACATTTATTTCATTCAGACCCCAACTCAAACTATTACTGTTTACTTCAGAAGTGCAACTGTTATATTTTAGAATAACTTCTTATATAAAAAGCACAGACAAAGGCAAAAGGACAGCAAATCTGCTGTCTCATCCTGCCCCTCCAGCCCCCATGATAATCTGCTTTAAACGGTGCTCAATCGGTCATAAGCCTGCTGGCTTGATGCTGATTCAAATTCTCTTTGGCTTATATCACTGCCTTTCAAAAAGCAGATATGAAATATGTGACAGTTGAGTCTACTTTCTGGTTGCAGACAAACTGAGGGAGCATCAGTGAACCTTAAGAGTAGAAAGTACTTCATAAACCCTATCTTGCACATTTTATGAAATTAACCCCCAAACTACAATAAATTTTATTTAGACTATGTAATAGACCAACATAAACAAGTATTGTATGGTGAAAGCAAAATGCAATATCCATACTAACTAAAAGAGATGAAGACCAACAGTTCACAGAAAGAATATGTGAGAAAACGTAGAAGTGCAATCTACCAATCAGGCTCTCACTGATGAAACCTGTAAAATGGGGAAAGGAAAGCTACAGTATGAGAAGTCCTGTTTACAGTTACAGAGCAAACATTTTTATGAGGATGCTCTTATTAAACATGTAAAACGTTTAACTTTTTGAGCTACATGCAAAATTAGATAGCTGGTGGAGAACTGTCACTCAGAACACTGATACATGGTGGTGGCAGTATCATGCTTCATAAAGAACATGGAAACTGGTCAGAGTGGAAGTGAAGATTAGCAAAGGCTACAAATTATATTTGTGGATCAAAGCATTTGTTTTCCAGGATTGCCCATAATACCTCTGGAGGAACTGTAGGGATTCATAGGTCAGGTGGGAGGATCTGTCAGTATGGCGACTATTACTAACGAAGCACACAAATCTCGCTTTTAGACAGTAGTGGATGTTTTGGAACTGATGTGCATTTTACCAATGGCCTTGTTCCAGATACATTAATATAAAAACTCATCCTGACAGAAAACCTGTTAGAAGCAACAAAATACTTGAACTGCATATTAAATATACGTAAATGGGCTATAATATATAGAGGAGCACATATAACAACTAAATATCCATTTATCAAGAATTTAATAAAATACATAAAAAACAACAGCATATTTGGTATCATCCTACAAAATACCCAAGTAATATTTTGCATAACACTGCTTTATATAAGCATTTCAGTGTTTTTTTTTCTACTTGCAAAATATTAGATGTAGTTGAAAACTATTTTATCCAAACTAGCAGAAAAGCACCCCTTCAAAAAGTATTTGAATAGTTGCATCATGCTGTAGGGATGCTTTACATTTTTAGGGTTAATAAAGTTGGTAAGAAATTAATGGAGGATGTATGGAGCTAAAAAACCTGGTATGGAAGGCTAGCTTCGAGCACTACCCTAAAAATACCTCAGAGATTAAATTAAAAAGCTAAAATTATGTGTTAGGGTAGCCCATTTAAAGTTCACACCTATATCTAATAAAACAAAAATCTATGACAAAGTCAGTCATGACAGATCCTCTCTATTCATTCTTACTCAACTTGGTTTATTCAACGTTGTATGGGCAACATGTTCAGTCTGTAGAGGTGCAAAAAAGGTGCACACATATGCCTAAAAGACTTGCATTATTAATGTTGATTATGGTATGAAGGATATAATGGAAACTGAAACGTTTAAGACTTCTTAAGGGTTATTCTAAAAAAAATCAAACCATTTATTCATCCTCACACTTATTTTTGCATTGGTTTGCCACTTAAAATTGTAAATGTGGTTGCACTTGACTTTAAAAAAAATCACTACAAAATGAACTTTGATTAAATACTTCTGCAAGGCACTGTAACAAGTACAAGACAGTTTTTAATACCGACATTGTTCCTTGTTAAAGAAACATCCAGAAAAAGCAGCCAGTGAACTATCCTCCGTGCTCTGTTACTCCTGCAGTTCTAGCAAGATTTGCATTGCTATGGCAACAGCTTTTTCTCAGTGCAAAAATCATGAGTGTTTTGGAAATTTTTTCATCTGTATAGCTCAGTGATTTTAAGATTATTGCATCTAGAGGTCATTAAAACTACAATTCTCTGATTGGTAGTTTCATGCACCAGAACACAGAAGGGGGAGGTAAAAACACATACCTGCTGACTATAAGGTGGTCACCATGGCGCTGATAGAAACAGGAGGGTGGCAATAGGAGTTTTCTTTTCTCTTTTAGTGCTGACTAATTCAACATGAACAGAAAAAAGAGAGTCCTTGAAGGAATTTGAAGGAGCAATGCTTGTGGTGCAATATCCAACGTCCTCTGCACCTCCCAGCACTGCGCTGTCAGCAATGAAGCGACGGACAAGCTTTCAGCCTTTGGTGTAAAACTTCCAGACTGGCTGTGCCTCCGTCCATGTTTGTACAAAAAGGGCCTGTCATTTCCTTGAATTTGCTTGGAACCATATTTATTCAACTTCACCCTCAGGCTTGCTTTTCTACTAAAAGGAATTTTTCCTTAAAAGCCTATGTAGCAGTTGGCGAGTTTGTGCTTCAAGATAAACAATGACTCTTTTCATTCCAGCACGGCTTTCAGTCCAGGGGCTGAAATAAGACACAGCCAAGGATAAAAGACCATACAGAGAAAGTGGTGGAGGGGAGAGAGGGGGTGTTGCCACAAAAAAAAAAAAAAACAACATAAAACTGTACTGTGCACACTAAATCTTAAGTTGGTTTCCATATGCCTTCTGGGCTTTACTCTTACGTTATAACTACTGATATGATTAATTTTCCTAATACAGAAATTATACCAAACTGGATTTATTTGATTTGATATGAACTTTAACAAAAGTGGACAAAAGCAGAGGAAAGCTGCTAATGTGTAATGGCATGTAAATAAAAAATGCCACTAGTGTTGTTGGAAAGAGGGGTAACCTGTTAAGCAATAGAGGCAAGAGTCATTGATGTGACCAGGTGTTTACAGGACAGTTATGGGTTTACTTTTTCATCTAGGCTTGCTTTGAGTTGAGCTTCCAGGGCCATCTTATCAAAAGTACGCATGTTGGTCTCCTCCCGCACTTTGTCCCGCACGTGAAAGGATGCCCGGGCCACGGAGCGGGCGCTCTCCAATACTGCCTTCTTTTCCCTAAAGATCTGCTCGCTTTTCTCGAGCTTCCTCTCGATGGACTGCAGGAGCTCCAGGCGCCTCTGCCTCTCCTCTTCCTCAACACGCTGCCTGTTGAGCTTCTGGAGTCTCTCCTTTTCCTTCCGACTTTTGATGGCTCGCTTGGCTTTCTCCTTGGCCTTCTCCTCGGCCACCACGGTGGCCTGCTGGGCTCGTTTGGCAGCCTCCCTGGCGCGTGCCTCAAGCAGCTGTTGCTGCTGCTTCTCGCGCCTCTCAGCTGCCTTGCGAGCTTTCTGAATCTGTTTCTCTTCGCGTTTGGCTTTCTCTTTTAGCTCCTGTCCCCGACGTTCAACTATCTGTTCATAGTTCTCAAGGGAGCGGTTGAGCTTCTCCTCAGCCAACCTTTTAGCTTCATCCCTCTCTTCTTGTTCTCTACGGGCAATTTCTTGTATCAGGGCAGCATGACGTCTCCTCTCTGCCTTATTTAGACCTCGTCTCTCCTCCTGGGCCTGGTGCTCCCTCTCTTGCCTCTTCAGCTCAGCAATGGTGAGCTTCTCCTCTAGGAGTAGTCTCTCCTGCTCTAGCATGGCAGCCCTCTCCTCCTCCAAGGCCTTCAGGTTCTGTTCCTGAAGAGCTTTTTTGTGCTTCTCTTCTCTCGCCACCTGCTGTAGCCTCAGGAGACGATTGCGCTCCTGCTGCTCCGCGAGCTCCTTCCACCTTTCTTCATGCTCCTCTGCCTGCCGCAGCTTGGCAGCAGCTGAATCACGCTCCTGCTGGCTGATCTTCCGCTGACGAATTGAAACCTGCGTCTGCCACACACGCTGGCACTGGAGCACTGCCCGCTGCTTCTCCCTGTCTTCCTGCTCCCGCCGCAGCTCCTCCATCCTGCGCTCGCTGTCCCACTGAAGGTGAGCAACATAACGGGTCTGACTCATGATGTCTTCCTCCTGATACCTAGCAAGCATCAAAGCTGCAATCTTGCGATCACGCTCAGACACAGCCTTCAGGCCCCGACGCTTCACCTCCTTGACGATGCGCTCCACCTTCTGTGTTGTTTGAGGGGAGTGGCTGAGGTCTCCGAGGCTGAGGCTACGGCCCATTAGGGAGTTGAAAGTAGCCATAGTGCGAGCTCGAGGGCTAGAAAGTTTAGCCCAGTGGTCTCGTGCACCATCCCAACTGTAAGAAGAGGAAGCCCCAGACTCCGATGAGGTGCATGTCGTTGTGGTGGTGGTGGAGGCTGAGCAGCAGGCTGGATCCATCCTTCGCTGTAAAGACTCAAGGGAATGGCTTCTCCCTCGGGTCTTGGAATGTAATCCAAGATGCCCATTGTGGTGAGAGAAAAGCCCTCTTGTTACTCCATTGACTTGTGTGTTGGTGCTCTGAGCGGCAGGCTTTGACACTGATGATGTTAATGTAGAGTTAGCTCTAGGAAAAGAGGGAGGTTTCTGCACTGATCTCGGAAAAGTGTTTGAAGGTTTACCAGTGGTGGATTTCTTGAGCACTGGTGAGGGACCAGATGAAATTGGACGTGTGCTTTTGGTATGATCAGATGACGGGAACACTGAGGCTTTGGCTGAAACTTGAACTGAACCCTTGGGAAGCGGCAGAGATGTTTTGGGACCAGACTTTGGAGACGGTGTAGTTCTTGGTTGAATGGATTTTGGGGACGTACTAAGAATAGAGGTGGGGGCTTTGGACGAAGGAGTTGCACCTGATGGTGCAGCTTTAAAGGAAACTACTGCATCATGGGGTGAGCTAGAGGTTACTGTACTAGATTTAGGAGGCACATTGATACCAGATGGAACTTTATCCACTGAGGACAAAGATGTGCTGCTGTTGACAGCTGCCTGCAGAATCCTTCTTTTCTCTTCTCTTACGATCCTCTCTCTCTCTTCCCTGCAGTGTCTGAGTTTGCCATGTCTGTCTTTCTCATAGACTTCAAAAAGACCTGTGGCGACACGCATTGACCGGCCAGGCGCCTCACGGATAAAGTCGGCTAGAGGGCGTGGCAGCAGCTCCACAGGTTTGACTCCACATCGTGCACACGCCTCCAAAGAGCGGGGGCTTGTCAACACATAACGACTGCCCTCCGCATCAGGTGAGTCAAAATTGTAGAGGTCCAGGTGCAGTTTAGGGGCCAAATCTGTGTCCGTCTGAGTCTGTGGTTGCTGAGATGCAGCCCCCTGTGTGCTGACCTGCGGCCCTGTCGGAGAAGCAGTGTGGCAGGGACTGGGCTCTGAACTGCCGGTCGGCGGTGTCTCAAAACCAGCATCACCTTCTTCCTCAGTTGTTGCGCCATCAACCGGTTCTGATAATCTAGAGATTTCAGTTGCCACGATTGGTGTGTCAAGCTGTGGGCCTTTACATTTATTCTGCTCCTCAATATCTGAGGGGTCGACCATAGTGGGCTTACTCTGCAGGTAATGAGACAGAAAAGGGGCGATAGATCAGAAGAGGGTTGAAAAAAAGACAGAGGAGGGTTAGATCACAATTAAAACATTTAGCTCAGACATTACAAGAGAGAAACTGTCTGTGGGGGAAGGGTCAAAATGTAGATTCATGCATGCATGCATGAGCACATGTTCATACACCCAGTGATTTTATACCAGATGAGACATTTTACCTTCGGGGGAAGTGGAATAACACACAAAAACAGCACAGCCCTTTAAAATAAGATCTATTTTTGGCAGAGTTACTAGGCTGAGAGAATTTGATTACTCACAGCCCCATTTTCACTCTATAGCACACAAATGCACTACAGACCTAGACACATCAAAGCCTTGGAAAAATATGGATCAAATTAGCTGACAGTAGCCGATAACAGGAACCAGGGTGGGCCAAACTGGCTATAGGCGCGCACCTGCCAATGGGCAGCAAAGGCCTGGACTTTTTTTTCACTGTGAATAAAGCCTCTACTTGTTTATCATTGCTGTCTAACGTCATAGTGCTGCTTCAACCGAAATGTGCTCATCAACCTTCGTGAACATGCGGACTACGTGTAATTTAATGCGGTTCCAGAATATTTATCTCCACTGACCTGCCAGAGTGCCAAATGTTTTCTAAACCAGTACTTCGTTCCCCTTTAATCCTCCTAGTCCTCTTTGCTCCTTGCATAATAGCAGGCTTTCAGAAACAACGGCTCCGGCCGTCGATCCAAAGATGGAGCATCACCTCGCCGCAGCCTCCAGCGACTCGACGGAGACAGATGGAGCGCCTCAGTGCGCCTCAGCCTCTCTATGCGGCGGAGCGCCGATCTGCGCCTCCCGATCGCCGGTAGAACAAAAAGCAATCTCCAAACAGATTTCACTCTGTCTCCACAACGACCGATGTTTGCTCCACAGCTTCGACTAATCCTCCCTGAGCGAAGCGAAACGCGTAAACATCCAGGGTCTCCACCTGCCCCTCAGCTTCCCTCATCTGAGCATCCTAAGCTCCGCCTGCTGCAAGACAGAGAGGCCTGTCAGCTCAGCTTACAGATTTATGTTTCACACACACACACACACACAAAAAAGAAAAAAATAACCTAAATATGTGAGTTAATACAAACAAATAAATAAATGCATAAATAAATATATATAAATACATATAAATAAAAATAAAAATAAAAAAACAAATAAATACATAAATAAATATATATAAATACATATAAATAAATAAATAAATAAAACCGTCTTAGGCTAAGCTGCCTGCTCAGCTTTCGGATTTACTCTGGTAAAATATGGCTCATCCATTCACGTTATAAGGAAGCAATAAATAACTAATCAATCTATAACAAAAGATAAATAAGAAAAACCCTAAACACTTATAAAATAAAAATAAATATAACCACCTTAATAGATAAATAAAAAATAAATCCTAAAAAGAGATTCAATATGTAAACAGTTTAAGATTGAAATCTATCATACCTTTGCCCCATAGGCGGTTCTAGACAGTGGCCAACGGGGGCCAGTGCCCCTGTAGATCATGTCCTGGCCCCTGTACTGAGGACATAATATTTAAAGAAATTCTAAGGATGATATGCACTGGAACAGACATGGTTACTGATAGGTCCTTTGGATCTATTTCATCTTTTTTTCTTTACAAATTCTGTTTTACTAATTATTTTAAAGGTACACTATGCAACCGGTGTTGATTTTCCAGCGAGGCTCCCCCCAGAGGGCGAAAGTAAAAGTGCACTGTCGTAAATATGCACAGCTGTTCTCCTGGTTTCTCCGTCAAGCCAGGCGCGGTTGTTTTGAGCTTAGCAGACAGGCGAACGCCACGAATGACTAAGCATCTGATGCGCGTGACGCGCCGCAAACGCACTGCTGCTCGAGATGGAAAAATTGAATTTTTGCTGCTCGACGCGCCGCGTCAACCAATCAGAGAAGCTGATCTGGGAGCTGGCAGGGAGAGAGACACAGCGCTGATGATCAGAGCGCTATGATCACTCCTCCTAAACAGTTTATTGACGCCTAAATTAACTTAAAATGCAGAAATCTGCCGGCAGAATATGTTCGCTTTTATTATCCTGCTGCCTGCAGTTTGGATTATTTAGATGAAAAACACCTACCAGCTGCCGCGGTGAACCGCGAGGAGGTGACCCAGCCAGAGGCTGCTGATGAAGGGATTCCTACTGTCGGCGCACCGCTGGTATGTGGGGGTTTGAGCGGCTCCGACAGAAAAAATATTGTAAGGCAGGATGATAATGTGAATGAACTGACTGCACTAATTACGTTTTCAGGTGTATTTTCTCACTTAAAAACATATTAAAACTACTTTATTCCCACTGATCACAGCAAATATAGCTGCAAGGCAGAGAAAGGATAGTGAAGCTCCGCCCAACGCGCGTCAGACACACTTTTGCACCCCCCAGCCAGAGCAGCAAAGCTGCTTCAGCCGCGCGTCAGAACTAACTGGTACAAGCAGTAAAAATGAAGCAGCAGACGCGATTTTGCTGCGTCCGGTGTGAAAGCAGCACTGCACAAAGATTGCCACTGTGCTAGCAACGAGCATGCTTTTAACTGGGGGGTGTAGCAGTTCTTGCCGTAAAGCAAGACCGACTCTCGCGGGACTTCTGAGCCTGTGGGTGCGGGTTGGTGCTCCTGCAATTGCAAGTGCGGTATTTCCCCCACAGACCACCAGGGCGGCCGAGAATACCTTTGTTCAACCTGAAATGACTCATTTAATCATCCAAAACGTTATGGAACACATTAATTAACTGAAAAATGTTGCATAGTGTGCCTTTAAAACAATAACATGATAGCTTCAATGGTATTAAGATGGGATCCCAGTTTTCATCTGCTAAAAATGTTTTTTTTTTCAGAACAAATAAAAACAATTGAATTTATCTGTTCTTCTTTAGTTCTAATTAAGATTTTATAAAAAAACAACAAAAAACGGTAATTTTAACTGAAATTATGTGGGAAAACAATGTAAAAATCCTAAATTATGAATGTATATAGACCTAATATGACATATAATTTGAATTAAACCTAATTAAATAGAAGTTTCACTTCATGTAGCTATCTCAATGTATTTAAATACCTTGGTCTGTTTTTTATTCCATGCTTTTCTGCGCCCCCATGAAAACACGCTGGCCCCCTCCTGGCCCCCTAGTACATTTGGTCTAGAACTGCCACTGCTTCGGCCAATTATGGAGCACCAACTCTGCCATATTTAGAAATAAATACATAAATAAATGCTCAATAAATAAATAAGTATACAATTAATGGCCCCCCGAAATACAATAAACAAATAATATAGGTAGAAATTGAATTATACAGTGAGACATAAATATATATATCTCTTTTAATTAGCTTCTTCATTTATAAAAATTTTGTAATAATTACCTAATTACCTTATTCATTTATTGTCCGTTATACTCTTCAACTTTATTTATTTATAACTTATCTTTTTAAAGTATTTATTTATGTGCATGTAATATTTTTGTCTGTTTTATTCTTCCTTTGTATTTTTTTAACCTATTTTTTTCTTCAACATTATTTATTGCTGCCTGTCGTTTTTACATTTCTGTATGCATTTCTGCCTCATTATGCAAATGAGGAGGGGGGTGTAATTATCTGGTAATTATAATAGCACCAAGTTATTTATGTAGCATGGTGCACAATACTGCATAAAGTATCTTCAGCATCTTCCATTTGGTCATCTTGTCTGATCACTGCTGGTGACTGAACCTGTGTGTAACTAGTTAAAATAGACACCAGATGGAGCTGCAGTAACGTTGGCAGGGGGAGGCTTTCAGGATTGTGGAGAAGGGAAGAATTTTGTAAAAAGTTTTCAGGGGTAAAAAAACAAAAAACAAAACATAAAAACAAGAAGCAGCCAAAGGAGTATTAAGCTGTTTTTTTATTTTAATAGTGTTTCAATTTACTTATCATTTTTCTAATCTAAATCTAAAATTTCAAATTTCCCAGAAAACAAGTGTGGGAGTCTGGAGGTCTCTACTGAGACTGCTGGTCCTGGATGAAGCAGGAGACGATGGGTTCGAGTACAAAAGAGTGAAATAAAGGGTTTCGTTTATGTTCGTAGTTGGTCATTTACTCCAAATAAAAAAAATAATATGGAGAGCTCTAAACACATTATTCTTCAGCACTTGATCTTTTATTCATTAAAATTATCATCTTGCAAAACCCCATTTTTCAATTTTTTAAATTTATGACTGCAAAGAAAGTTTTTTATTAGGTCTTACATGAATACTAATCAAAATCAGAGGATTATTGTTAGGTAAAAAGGAATGCATACAGGTTTTTTAAGAACATTAACGTGTAAGGATTCAGCCTCCTAAACTGAAATCCATCCCCACCATATTTATTTCCGAATTTGCCCAATTTGTAAATTGTGCAACTAGTGCTTAACACAACTTAATCTCTGTATGAATCCAAGACAATCTGTATTCTCTGGGTTTTGTTTTTTGAGAAGATTCATAAAAAAAGCCATTTCATTAAAATTTGGATATATGGAATCAGGTCGGTATAAAGTTATGGATTTTAAGCAGGGTTTAGCAGGGTAGGCTATGGTGTAGTATCCAGAATGTAGAGCATATTCTTTAGTGCAAAGGAGAGTAACCAACAACATATAAAATACATGTCAACAGCAGTATGGGGTTGGAATAGTATATTTCCAAGCTTAAAATTTTACAACACATTTTATATGACAAAAAAGGTAAAAAAAAAAAAAAAAGTACTACTGTATGTGCACATAGCTGAACACACAATGCTTACAGTAATGCATGGTGGTGGCAGTATTATGCTGTGGGAACAGAGACCTGGTCAGAGTCGATGGGAGTATAGATAGACTTGAGTATTGTTGGATACTGAACTTACTCTATGTCTGACATCACATACAGCAGCCTGGCTTGTTTGTAAACGACAGTGGATAAACATTTAGTCTCCAGATCAACTCCACGTGACTTGCAGGTGTAATAAAGAGCAGTACAGGCAGTTGTTGTATGAGCAGGTGAGCACAATTTATTCAACGCTCCGAAGGCCACCTTGGAGAGACTTGGTCGTCTTAAGCGACGATTAGATAACGCTGATTGAAAACCTCAGTGATAATGACCCACTAAACTCCTGACCCATTGTGAGAAACAGTGCCAGTTTAATTGGCCCCCGCTTGCACATCGTATCAGGAGGACAGCGGGAAGCAAGTGACAACAGGGAGCCTGGTAGCTGGCTTGTTAACTGTGGTCATAGGGTTTGTTTGGAGGGGTGGGCTGGTGGGGGGTGGTGGTAGAGCAGAGCAGAGCAGAGCAGGGCGAGGTGCACAGTTCACTGCCTGACAACATTTTAATGTTTCTGTTTTTGTTTTTGGTGGGGCGCACTACCCATCACCAACACGGGACTGAGGGGTTCATCGAGAGGTGAGCTGCTCGGTGCAGACACAGGGACCACTGCAAACACCAGCTGGGGGTTTAGGACTGATTCTGAGGGAACCAAAGAAAGGTTTTTTCCATCTATATTTATAATTTCTATACAGTTTTTTTTTTCTTTTTTCACAAACATTTTTTTTTTAATCTCATCTACTGGTGATATAATAATGACAGTCTGCTTTGTCATATGCTTACAAGTATTCACCACCATAGTGTAGAAAAGCTACTGCTTACATCTAAAACAGGAGACACTGTTTTAGACTTCAAAAGGGGAACTTGTTTTTCAATCTGAGATTTGCTCAGCTTTGACTTGTATAGATAAAGATAATGTAAACTCCTTAAGAGACTTTGAAGCAGAGAAACAAGCACTCTCTCAGTGTATGCACTGCGACAAACCTCTCATTTTGCAATTTGCCTGTTTTTCAAAACACAAATAAGATGATTTAGAGGAAAGAATACAGTGAAGTTTTCCGGTTTTCATACTCCGTGTAATTCTCCCTTTGTAAAATGGAAAATTTTAAGGTGCTTTGTTTGGATTATAATAAAAATAAACAGAATAAAGGTGTGTCTGAAAGCCTG